GTCCATTTTGCATCATGTTTTCTTACTATTATTTATAATGTTTTTATCCATAATAATGCTTTTTGGAGTAATTCTACTGCCTTTTCTCTCATAATTTGTAAGGAACACACCAAGAGGGAGAATTCCGGCAGTTGGAAATATGGACCTGAAAAAGCCATGTCAGGCTACCTATTCTGCACAACTCCAAATAAGATGAAACTTCATGGAGATTTTTTATGGAACATTTAAGAAATAATGGAGCCAATAACCACCAGAGGGGGCCACCAGGTGGGCACAACCCACCTGGGCACGCTAGGCCCCCCAGGCACGCCCTGGTGGGTTGTGGCCTCCTCGGCCCACCTCTGATGCCCATCTTCTGGTATAAAGTGATTTTGACCTATAAAAATAAGGAGGAGACTTTCGGGACGGAGCGCCGCCGCCTCAAGGCGGAACTTGGGTAGGAGCACTTTTGCCCTTCAGCGGAGCGATTCCATCGGGGGAACTTCCCTCCCGAAGGGGGAAATCATCGTCGTCATCATCACCAACAACTCTCCCATCTTGGGGAGGGAAATCTCCATCAACATCTTCAACAGCACCATCTCATCTCAAACCCTAGTTCATCTCTTGTGTTCAATCTTGTTATCGGAACTATAGATTGGTGCTTGTGGGTGATTAGTAGTGTTGATTACATCTTGTAGTTGATTACTATATGGTTTATTTGGTGGAAGATTATATGTTTAGATCCATTATGCTATTTAATACCCCTCTGATCTTGAGCATGATTATTATTTGTGAGTAGTTACCTTTGTTCTTGAGGTCACGGGAGAAATCATGTTGCAAGTAATCATGTGAACTTGATATGTGTTCGATATTTTGATAGTATGTATGTTGTTATTCCCTTAGTGGTGTCATGTGAACGACGACTACATGGCACTTCACCATATTTGGGCCTAAGGGAATGCATTGTGGAGTAGCAATTAGATGGTGGGTTGCGAGAGTGACACAAGCTTAAACCCCAATTTATGCGCTATTCCATAAAGGACCGATTGGATTCAAAAGTTTAATGCTATGGTTAGAATTTATTCTTAATACTTTTCTCGTAGTTGTGGATGCTTGCGGGAGGGTTAATCATAACTAGGAGGTTTGTTCAATCAAGAACAACACCTAAGCACCGGTCCACCCACATAGCAAATTATCAAAGTAGCGAACACAAATCGAACCAACATGATGAAAGTGACTAGATGAAATTCCCATGTACCCTCAAAAATGCTTTACTTATCATAAGAGACCGTTTTGGCATGTCCTTTGCCTTAAAAGGATTGGGCTACCTTGCTGCACTTTTGTTACTATTATCGTTACTTGCTTATTACAAATTATCTTGCAATCAAACTACTCCGCTATTTATAATTTCAGCACTTGCAGACAATACCTTACCGGAGACTACTTGTCATTTCCTTCTGCTCCTTGTTGGGTTCGACACTCTTACTTATTGAAAAGAGCTACAATTGATCCCCTATACTTGTGGGTCATCATGCAGGTCATGCAACTCCAGGTTGAGTTCCTCCCAATTGAAGTCCTTTGTGCTTGCGCTTTCCCTTTCCATTATATGCGAGAAATGGTCGTGAATTATTTTTTCCTTAGCGTTGTGCTCGGTCATCCACCCTTGATCATTTATGATACGGTGAATGTGGTTTTTCCTCCTTCGCGCATTAACCCGACGGTGAAAGAACTTCGTGTTGGCATCACCTTCTTTGATGTTTGCGATTCTGGCACATTGCTTCTTGCGTGCTTTCTCGAGCATGGGCAGGCTTATGACCCTTCTCTTGAGCCTAGCCCGAAGGTCGAGCTCCTCAGGGGAGAGCAGCCTTCCCTCCTGAGCAATGTCGAGGAGGAGGATCACCAAGAGGGCGGCATGGAGATGGATCTTAGCTTTAGAGAAGAGACCGCTACTCCATTGTGAGAGGCGCATCGCCGTTTTCTTTAGCTTGTGGAAAAGGATAATGTGTGGCTCGGTGTGATCAATAGGCTCGACCCAGGCCTTTTGGACCACATCACTGAAGCCAGGCATAGAAATCCAAAAGTTCTCAAATTTGAAAGTCTTAGGCCTCCTAGGACCCTTATCATCGGCGATCAGGAGCGGGCAATGGTTAGATAGGGACGAAGAAAGTGCATGGAGCACATGGTCGTTGAAGGTGGTGTCCAACTCCGCATTGCAAAAGAAAGAGTCAAGCTTGCTCAGGGTTGGGTTTGGTCTCTACTTGCTCCAGGTGAACCTCCTATTTTGGAGGTGGATTTCTTTAAGCTCACAACTATTGAGAGTTGCACGGAACCAGTTGATTCGACTGGTGTTAACGTTCCTCTTTTTTTATCCCTTGCCCGATAAATCTGGTTGAAATCCCTGGAGGCGATCCAAGCGACCCCAACAGGCGGCTTCTGGCTAATGAGCTCGGCAAAGAACACGTCTTTAAGCGAGGGGTCGGTCAGGCCATAAACAGTTGTTATCTTAAATCTCGCGGCTGAATCCCTAACACGAACCATGGCTGAGAGGCAATAGGTTGTAAAGGTGATGTTGGACATCTCCACCAAGGTATCATCCCAGAGAATGAGGATATATACCCCCCTCGTGCCATTTGTCGGGCGTTGCGCAAAGCTACGTAACCTATGCACCCCCTCCCCCCAAAAAAGCAGCCTCGATGAACATGATCATACTATAGTACCTCGCTTTGCAAGCGCCTCCCTCCATCGACTTGCAATTCCACAAATTGCCCTCCAGAAGGAAGCTGGTGTCCAACCTGATGAATAATCGTGTATAACCCGGGCAGCAGATTGCCTGAACCTTTCTGATAGCCATTTACTAGTGCATTCTCTTGTATATGACGGGTACTCGGTAATGTTTCATCAGGTCTTGGAATAAGACTAGACTGATAATTTTCAAGGATTGTCTTTTTATTTAAATTTTTCTTAGGAGTACGCAACTGCATACCATTGTTTTAGTTTTACTAGCAAATGTGTCTGTGAGTTCCAATGCGAGAAACGAACCATCCATATCACCACTTCTCCTCTTTGCCCCTTGCGAATATGTGTTGCCACTTCTCATATTTTTCACCTATTCATGATGAACATGATCATACTATAGTACCTCGCTTGCAAGCACCTCCCCCCATCGACTTGCAATTCCACAAAGTATGATCATACTCTAGTACATCGCTTCGCGAGCGCCTCCCTCCGTCGACTTGCAATTCCACAAAGTTGTAATGATGGTCGGCACCAGCCTTGTCTTGAGTCAATTAATCCGATGGATTGGTATGGGCAATAGAGGTGTTGATCTTGATGATATTCTCCATGCTTTCTCGGCTGTTCGCACCTTGTTCCCGATGAGATACCTTGGGCTGTCGTTATCCGTTAAGCGTCTCAAGCGGATTCATTTTCAGCACCTTGAGGATAAGGTGGCCGGCAAGCTCTCCCCTTGGCAAAGCAGACATGTCGCCACTGCGGGCCAGGTTGTTCTTGTTAAGACCATCCTCACCGCTATTGCCATATACCACCTTACGCCTCTCGACATCCCGGTGGAGGTTATGAAGAAAATTGATAGTCTACGGCGCGCCTATCTTTGGGTGGGCCCGGATACAGTTTTCGGTAGAAAATGCAAAATAAATCGGGACCTTGTTTGCAAGCCGAAGAAGAACGGTGGCATGGGCGTGTTAAATTTGGGCAAATTTACTGAGGCTCTTCGGCTTAGGTGGCTTTGCCTTTGGTTTGAGTGGAAGGAGTCCACAAAACCATGGATCGGTATGGGCACACCGTGCACGGATGATGACCGGGCCTTTTTTGCGGCTACCACCCGCGTCACAGTGGGCAACGAACGAACGGCAAAGTTTTGAAACTCATCTTGGCTACAGGGCTTGAGACCCCATGACATTGCGCCTCGCATCTTTGACCTCTCCCAAAAGAAAAATTGCTCCTTCTAGCAAGCTCTACACAACAATCTGTGGATCTCTAACATCGACATTTCCAATGGCCTTTCCCTTGGTCACGTCCAAGAGTTTGCAAATCTTTGGGAAAAGCTGAATTATGTCGCCCTTGAGGAGGGGATGGATGATTCAATTGTATGGAAGTTCACTAAAGATGATATGTACTCCGCCTCTTCGACATACAAGGCACAATTTGAGGGCTTACTACTTCGTATCTGGTGCAATCGGTCTGGGCAGTGCGGGGATGGAAATGTGAGCGAGGAGGGTGAACATCATCCAGCTTCTGCTGTGGCTGTTTTTATGTGGGCAAATTTGCCATGGCAACTCAAGAGAGGAGGCAAACCAGAACGCGAAGTTGGGAGGAGGGTTGTCTTGCCTCACAAGGCCTGGA